TTCCTAGCAGAATGGATCCGATCCATCCTGCGGGGATCGTCAACTTTCTTTATAACTTACCTTTTTGTGGAGCGGGTCCGGTGTCACCCCGTATAGGTTGCATGCCAATGATCCCCGCATGGACCGGATCTGCGGATTGGGGAGCATAATGGATCGGAGTCCAATCCATTATGCTTAATCCGCAGATCTGAACCATCCTGCGGGGATCGTCAGCATGCAACCTATACGGGGTGACACCGGACCCGCTCCACAAAAAGGTAAGTTGTAAAGAGAGCCGACAATCCCTGCAGGATGGTTCAGATCTGCGGATTGGGGAGCATAATGGATCGGAGTCTGCAGATCAGATCCATTCTGCGGGGATCGTCTGAAGGGGTGTCACAAAGTGTTAACGCACCGGATGACACCAACCCTAGGGAAGACCCTGCTCCCACCCCTTGTCCTGGGCCTGTTGAAGAGAAACCACACATTGAGAGACCATCAACTGCCACTGCTGATATGAATCATCAACGAGAGAATGAATCGTTTTGCATGGAGAGACGTGTCATAATCCGTGAGCTTGCTGCACAACTAGACTGTGGTCACCATGCCATACAAAAGATGGTGGAAGACTTAGGCTTGAAAAAGCCGCTCGCCCACTCGCCAAATGCGAGGAGAAATTCTCTAGCGGTGAGCACAGATGATGGAGCGGCCGCGCTCCAAGACTCATTGCGAAGCCGAGTTCCGGTTTCCAACTTCTTTGGCACTGCCGCTGAGGGGACAGGTGTAGGAAAGGTCTGCTCTCCTCTGCTGAGAGGAGACACCTTCTCCACCGCTGCGGGGGACTCAAGGAGTAAGTACTGTATACATGGGGTACAGGGGAGCTGGGATATACATTACTGTACACAGTTTTATATTTTGGACTCTTGATTCTAAAGAAAAATGTCATTTCATAAGCTTTAAGGGGGCGTGGTTGGGGGCAGGGCTGGAGGCGGGGTTGGGGAATGGGCCCGGGGTGGAGTTGAAGGTGAACCTGGGCAAGGTTGGGTGGGGCAACTGGTGGAGAGTAAGGTTTGTGCCTGGCTAGTAGGTCTAGACTCAAAATTTTAAGCCCTGACTTAGGGTATCGGAAAGTGTGTGCAAAGTGGTTACCCCGGCAGTTGACACCAGATTTGAAGGAGAGAAGGGTGGAAGTCTGCTCTGATCTGCTGGAAGCGCTTGAAGCCAACGAAGACACATTTTTGGCCAATCTGGTGACAGATGATGAAACACGTACATGATCCGGAAATAAATAATTAATCCATGGAACGGGCACACCTCTTCATACCTCTTCCCCAATCCCTAAGTTCAAGAACCAGCACTTACGCAGGCCGAATTCCGAACAAATTTTCTTTAAAAAATCTGAAATTTTGTGCATTTTGTAATCCAATGGCGCCACCATTGATTTCGAAATTCAACCAACCAAGCCTTCAATTTCTCCTCGTGTTGCTACAGAAAATAATTTTCGTGGCCAAGAATTTTCTTTTCTTTCCAGGTCACAGCTTTATATTTCTTTCACGATTTTCCCATTGTTGATTCGAAATTCATTCATTTTTCAAAAAATTTCCAACATGCCCAATCACTCAATTTCGATGGTCACACGGAAATCGGCCATCTCTGTAGCCTACTAATGGTGCGAAATTCGAACGAAAATTCTTAGAAAAGATTTTCAAAAGAAAATTCTTTCGGAATTCAACCCGTGTATGGCCGGCTTTAGCACAGAAAGTCATGGTGACTGTTTTTTGGGGGTGACAACGGTGTAATTCCCATTGTTTTTCTGGAACATAACCATACTATGACTAGAGATAGCGAATGGTACATTGAGACACTTAACCCCTCGCCCTCCTGAGGATTTACCCCCCTTAATGACCACGCCTCTTTTTGCTACTCAGCGCTGCACTAATTCAACTGATAATTGTGCGGTCATGCAATGTTGCACCCAAACAAAATTTACGTCCTTTTTTTCACACAAATAGAGCTTTCTTTCGGTGGTATTTGATCACCTGTGTGCTTTTTATTTTTCACGCTATAAACAAAAAAAGGCCAACAATTTTGAAGAAAAACAATATTTTTTACTTTCAGCTATAAAAAATATATAGTAAACTCAAAGTTGGTTATAAATTTAGGCCAAAATGTATTCTGCTCCATGTTTTTGGTAAAAAAAATCCCAATAAGTGTATATTGATTGCTTTGTGTGGAAGTTATAGCGTCTACAAACTATGGTATAAATACTGCAACTTACGCCATTTTTCTGCTATACAGCGCTCCGCTAGTTTAACAGACAATTGCGCGGTCATGCAATACGGTACATAAATGAAATTTACATCCTTTTTTCCCCACAAATTGATCTTTCTTTTGGTGGTATTTGATCGCCTGTGCAGTTTTTATTTTTTTTTGCGCTATAAAAAAAAAGGCTGACAATTTTGAGGGAAAAAAAACAATATTTTGGACTTTTTGCTATAAAACATGTCCAGTAAAAAAAAAAATGTAAAAATCAAATTTAGTCATAAATTTCTGCCAAAATGCATTCTGCGACATGTCTTTGCTAAAAAAAAAACCCAATACGTGTAAATTAATTGGTTTACGTGAAAGTTATAGCGTTTACAAATGGCGGGAAAGATACTGGGATTTTTAGGGTTTTTTTTATACTATGGCGGCGATTATAATGGCGGCGATCAGTGACTTATGGCAGCGATCAGCGACTTATGGCAGCGACCAGTGACTTATGGCAGGACTGCGGGACTGCGGTGGACATTCTGACATTGGGGGGTACTGACTTGGGGTCACTGACATCCCCAGTGACACCAATATAGTGATCAGTGCAAAAAAAAAAAACCACTGACACTGTACTAATGGCACTGGGGAGGAAGGGGTTAAGTTTTATTTTGCAGGGAAGGGTTATCTGAGTGAGGGGAGTGTTTTACTAGGGGGCGGGGTGTGTACTGCAGGGAACACGTTGATCGGGAGAGGGAAACTCTTCTGTCCCGGTCAGCGTGTTCTCGAGCTGTCAGGGAAGTGACAGATAGCACAGCTACTGCAGCTGTGCTCTCTGTCACTGATTGCCGCCGATCGCCGGGTCATAGCCGGTAAGGACCGGCTGTGACCCGGCGACTGACATCCGTGGCTGTGATCGGTGGGACAAGCAGGGCGGCGGCGTGCCTCGCGCGCGCCCCCTACCTCTTTACAAAACACACGTTTTAAAACGTGGTTTTGCCTGCCTGTGCCGCCCTGCCGCCGTATTTCTACAGTGGCTGGGCGACATGTGGTTAAGAAGCTCAGAGAAGCCATTACAAACAAAAATCTGAAAACAATCCCTATTTACCAAATGACCACAGATATTCTCGGCAACAAATCTCAAAATATCATAGCTAAAGCTGAATTTGGGGCAGTGAGAACCCCGTCTTTTTTTTTACTCCAGGAAAAGCCTTCTATCCCCTTTATATCCTGTTCACAAAAACAGTGGCCGCTGTGTGGGTGTCATTCCCCCGACCACGCCCACAATGCACAGTGCATTGTGATTGGCCAAAACATTGCACCTGACCTCAGGGTGCCATATAAATCCTGTATTATAATAATAATAGGGAGTAACCCAAATCTGCTGCCACTGTCTGTAGTGGATGTGTTCCGGAGCTTCAGACTCCCAGTGTACAACCAACTGGACTGCAACGCTTGATTAATGAAGTGAAATGTAAAAAATGTAATTGTAAAATTAAAGGTAAAATTTCTTCGGCGATACTTGACTTTTTGGCATCATTAAATGTCAAAAGCTTTTGGGTAACAGGATCTTTTAGTTTGATACGAATAGGCGAGTGTATCCAATTAAAATTTTCCACTTCCCTACGGAGAGGATAAAATCCATTACAAAGTCTTTTTATCTCACCTTTGGAGCTGGACCTGCCCTTGGGAACCTTTTGAACATTGTAATCCTCGATCAGATTATTCATCTGTAATGGAACCGACCCCCGACTGCGCTTGGGTACTTCTGTTAGACTACCGCTTCCCCGTCTGAACACCGACCACAGACACCACAGCTGACCATACAAGACTAGACGACACCAGTCTTGAAGTAATCTAGAAAGTAGACTAGTTTATTTGAACACATAAACAAGATATATACACTCAGGGGACAATCCCCCCTCCCTGCATAATGACACAGGGCGGGGCAATCTACATTTAGTAACAAGAGACACACAGGTATTAAAACTTCACACCAGCAGACAGTCCCATCAGGAGGGAGCAGAGGCGTCCCTAGGGCTAGTGTCACCCGGTGCGGTGACACTTGGTGACACCCCCTCTGACGATTCCCGCAGAATGGATCAGATCTGTGGATTGAGCATAATGGATCGGACTCAATCCGCTCATTCAATCTATCCTGCGGGGATCGTCGGCTTTCTTTACAACTTACCTTTTCTTGGAGCGGGTCCGGGACAACTGAGCATGTCCCGATTTCAGGCACGATCAATCGATGATAGCAGTAGTTCTATCATCGATTGATCGTGCCTGAAACCGGGACATGCGCAGTTGCTTCAGGGGGACATATCTACATGGGAGACACATCTTGCTGATACACCGGTGTCACCCCGCAGGATCGTCCCCATGCAACCTATTCGGGGTGACACCGGACCCGCTCCAAGAAACGGTAAGTTGTAAAGCAAGCCGATGATCCCTGCAGGATGGATCCGATCCATCCTGCGGGGATCGTCGGCTTTCTTTACAACTTACTTTTAAATGGAGTGGGTCCGGTGTCACCTCGTATAGGTTGCATGCCGACGATCCCCACATGGACCGGATCTGTGGATTGGGAAGCATAATGGATCGGAGTCCGATCCATTATGCTTAATCCGCAGATCTGAACCATCCTGCGGGGATCGTCAGCATGCAACCTATACGGGGTGACACCGGACCCGCTCCACGAAAAGGTAAGTTGTAAAGAAAGCTGACAATCCCCGCAGGATGGATCAGATCAGGGGTGGACTGACAACTCATGGGGCCCCTGGGCAATAGGGGATCATGGGGCCCCTGTGTCCTTGCCCAAACTCAAAAAAGCCTATGAAAAAAGGTACCAGGGGCATCTCATGGGCCCCCTACTGACCCCGGGCCCTTGGCAGTGCCCGAGTTTCCAAATGGTCAGTCCGCCCCTGGATCAGATTCATCCTGCAGGGATCGTTGGCTTGCTTTACAACTTACTTTTTTGTGGAGCGGGTCCGGTGTCACCCGCTGTGGACCGCATCCCCCGCACCTGCCTCGGGGGGCCACTGGGGGGGAGGGCTGCTGGAGCACACCCCCCCCACTAAGCTAATACACATAAACACATACATCCCATAATAGTTTTCTCCCAAACTAGACACACAATCAGGGGCGACTGACAACTCATGGGGCCCCCGGGCAATAGGGATCATGCCCCTGTGTCCTTGCCCAAACTCAAAAAAAAGCCTATGAAAAAGGTACCAGGGGCATCTCATGGGGCCCCCTACTGACCCCGGGCCCTCGGGCAGTGCCCGAGTTTCCAAATGGTCAGTCCACCCCTGCAACATTAGGATGCAACCATATGGCATTAAACAATCAACAACCCCCCCCCCCCAATATTAGGACAGATACCCTGTACTCCTACCAGGCACAGGGTGACTTACACATAAGAGGGATATGGGGAGCTGAGACAGGGGTCTCCCCACCTCTCCAAAGTGAGCTGTGTTCCATGGGCCCCCCCACCCAAAGTGACTCCCGTCACTTCATCAGCCCTCCAAATCCTTGTTTCTAAGAAAACCAAACAGATTTTTTTTAGTTCCTGGAATACTTTGGAAAGTCCGTCTAATACAATAAAAATGGCTGCCTACATCGGAGAGTAAATTTGTGGCCAAAATATTGGCGCTGACCACGCAAATCATTTCTGAAATCTCATTGCTGTCCCTAATGGACTCTGCCGTTTGACTCCAGAACAGAATGAATAGATTAAGCAGGTGTTTCCGGTTGATAAATGAGATGATAGTCTTAATTCCCCAAATTCATTGACTGAGATGAACATCATTTTCAAAATTAAAACAATGGCAGCTTCTCCGAACCAGATGGCTGACCAAAAGACTGATAAGACTTTGAAGGATTTCTGTAATGTTCTCTGCGGCATCTTAAATCAATCTGACACACAAGACCATCTTTCAAAAGCTTTTAAGTAGGTTAGAACAATTAATATACCGAGAGGATGCTACCATGCAACAGAATATTTTCTGGAGATCAGATATTAAATGATCTGTCCATCCCATAGTGATATTTCAATTTTAAGGCGAGTTTGTTCATCACTGACATCTTTTTACAGCTCTTGGGATTTCCATTGGGAAGTTGTCCCTACCGAAGCTATCCCTTGTTCCCATACACCTTGAAGTCTGTTAGGTCTAAAGGCAAATAGGCTGTTCACTTTGCAAGGGACGTTGCGCTTTTCCCAAGAGCTTCGCGAATGAGATGAAGTGTCAGCACCAGGGGCGGACTGACAACTCATGGGGCAATAGGAAATCATGGGGCCCCTGTGTCCTTACCCACACTCAAACCACACCCCAAAAAGCCTATGCAAGGTACCAGGGGCATCTCATGGGACCCCCTACTGACCCTGGGCCCTTGCAGTGCCCTAGTGGCTAAATGGTCAGTCCGCTCCTGTAGTGAGCCCTTGCAGGTAGTCAACTTGGGGTTCCCCAGGGCGCGGAGTCTAAACCCCAGCCTGCTTGTTCACCAGAGCCCATGATGGTGGGGATGGACTTGCAGCGAGCTGGGACCAGGTCATGGCCCCCGGGTACGCCCATCTGAGGATGAGGAGACCGCTCACGGGAGCAGAGTACAATGGGAGGAGACAAATGGAAATCCGAGGACAGGACAGGCGGAAAACAAGCACGGTCAGAGAACGAAGCCGGGGTCAGTACACGAGTAGTCAATGCAGGATACAAGCAATAGCAACACATAGGAGCTCAGAGAACTAAGAAGTTGCTCATGGGGCCCCCGGGCAATAGGAAATCATGGGGCCCCTGTGTCCTTGCCCACACTCAAACCACACCCAAAAAGCCTATGCAAGGTACCAGGGGCATCTCATGGGGCCCCCCCCTACTGACCCTTGCAGTGCCCTAGTGGCTAAATGGTCAGTCCGCCCCTGGTCAGCACCTGTGGTAGTGAGCCCTTGCAGGTAGTAAACTTGGGGTTCCCCAGGGCGCGTAGTCTAAGCCCCAGCCTGCTTGTTCACCTGAGCCCCTGATGGTGGGGATGGACTTGCAGCGAGCTGGGACCAGGTCGTGGCCACCGGGTATGCCCAGCTGAGGATGAGGAGACCGCTCACGGGAGAAGAGTACAATGGGAGGAGACAAATGGAAATCCGAGGTCAGGACAGGTGGAAAACAAGCACAGTCAGAGAACAAGTCGGGGTCGGTACATGAGTAGTCAATGCAGGATACAAGCAATAGCAACACACAGGAGCTCAGAGAACTAAGAAGTTGCTCATGGGGCCCCCGGGCAATAGGAAATCATGGGGCCCCTGTGTCCTTGCCCACACTCAAACCACACCCAAAAAAAGCCTATGCAAGGTACCAGGGGCATCTCATGGGGCCCCCCCTACTGACCCTGGACCCTTGCAGTGCCCGAGTGGATAAATGGTCAGTCCGCCCCTGGTCAGCACCTGTGGTAGTGAGCCCTTGCAGGTAGTCAACTTGGGGTTCCCCAGGGCACGGAGTCTAAGCCCCAACCTGCTTGTTCACCAGAGTCCCTGATGGTGGGGATGGACTTGCAGCAAGCTGGGACCAGGTCGTGGCCCTTGGGTACGCCCAGCTGAGGATGAGGAGACCGCTCACGGGAGCAGAGTACAATGGGAGGAGACAAATGGAAATCCGAGGTCAGGACAGGCGGAAAACAAACACAGTCAGAGAACGAAGTCGGGGGTCGGTACACGAGTAGTCAATGCAGGATACAAGCAATAGCAACACACAGGAGCTCAGAGAACTAAGAAGATGTTCATGGGGCCCCCGGGCAATAGGAAATCATGGGGCCCCTGTGTCCTCGCCCACACTCAAACCACACTCAAAAAAGTTTATGCAAGGTACCAGGAGCATCTCATGGGGCCCCCTACTGACCCTGGGTCCTCAGGCAGTGCCCGAGTGACTAAATGGTCAGTCCTCCCCTGGTCAGCATCTGTGGTAGTGAGCCCTTGCAGGTACTCAACTTGGGGTTCCCCAGAGCGCAGAGTCTAAGCCCAAACCTGCTTGTTCACCAGAGCCCCTGATGGTGGGGATGGACTTGCAGCGAGCTGGGACCAGGTCGTGACCCCTGGGTACGCCCAGCTGAGGATGAGGAGCAGAGTACAATGGGAGGAGACAAATGGAAATCCGAGGTCAGGACAGGCAGAAAACAAACACAGTCAGGGAACGAAGTCGGGGTCGGTACACGAGTAGTCAATGCAGGATACAAGCAATAGCAACACACAGGAGCTCAGAGAACTAAGAAGTTGCTCAGGCAAAGTGGCCTAGACTGAGCATGTCTTATATAGGCAGGTAACAAAAAGGTGGGGGAGGAAGTGATGGAAGGGAAGGAAATAAAACCCAGAGAACATCAGACGACGCCCATAGGTGAGCACAGACAAACACACATGTGAAAGGGATCAGGAACAGCACTGCAGCAAGGAGGGAAGAATACACAAACAAGAAACTGCAGGCTAACTTGTGACCTGAAGCTTTATTGACTTCCATCATCTAATATTATTCAAGCAAAAATATATTTTTTTGCTTTTTCTTGCATGTGATTGGGTATACACCTCATTCAATAAGCTCTAGGGCAAACTCCCTTGCAAAGTGCATGGCCTAGTTGGAGGCAGATACAGGTACACTTTTGGCCTGTAGGTGGCAATGCACCATTACAGGGGCAGGGGTGGCTAAAAGGGAATCTTGCCCCTTAGAGACTCAGTCCTCTCTAAGAAGGTAAGCAGCTGATTTCATGCTGAATTCTCGAAAGATTTGAGGTGGCCCCGTTAATATGGGAGCCTTTAACTAGGATATCCCCTGTCATATGGGCACATAATCAAGAGAGTGGCAGGTTAGGGCCTGAATAGCACTGGGAAAGGCTCCTGGAGAGTAGGGACAGCATGATGGACACTATCTGGTGTTTCAGAACTTCCAAAATGTTTTCAGTTGCAAGTGCAGTGGGAATTTTCCTGTTACACCCCCCCTCCCCCTACCAGAAGAAGCCGCCCTCTTGTAACATATTACAGTGCTATGATGAATTATATGGTCTTATTAAGTGTATTGAACTACACTATATTGGCAAAAGTATTGGACCAGCCCTCCAAACCATTGGATTCAGGTGTTCCAATCCTCTCCATGGCCACAGGTATATAAAATCAAGAACCTAGACATGCAGACTGCTTCTACAAAAATTTGTGAAAGAATGGGTTGCTCTCAGGAGCTCAGTGAATTCAAGGGTGGTACCATGATAGGTTTCCATCTGTGCAATAAGTCCATCCGTGAGATGTCCTTGCTGCTAAATATTCCACGCTTACACCCCTTGGGCTAGATAAGGGGAGAGGGTGGTCAGGTGCAAGACCCAACTAGCATCTCATCTGGGACTGTTCTAAACCGACAGCTCTTGGGCCCCCTTGCCCAGGGATACCGTCAGGCAGCTGAATGAAGAGGAGGAATCATCCAGAGTCTGAGGAGGTACACTAGAAAGAGCCTTTAGTGCTCTTCAGGAAGAGACTGATGCTATCTGAAACTTTGTACATAGTTACTAAGGAATTGTCCTCAAGTTCTACAGCTCCTCGGGCATCCCATATACCCCTAGACCCCATCCAAGTTTAACACATCAATAATATCACAAAACCAAATTCAAGGACTGTTTCCTGACTCCAGTGTGGAAAATGTGGAAAATGCGTGCTGCCTAGCCATGCAGAGCATAGGGAGACCCATTCAAATCCAGCGGCCCCAAAGGGGGTAACTGACTAGTCTCCCAGTTCCTGCCACTGAAAAACATCCCCACAGCATGATGCTGCCACCACCATGCTTCACTGTAGGGATGGTATTGGCCAGGTGGTGAGCGGTGCCTGGTTTCCTGCAGACATGACGCTTGGCATTCAGGCCGAACAGTTCAATCTTTGTTTCATCAGACCAGAGTGTTTTGTTTCTCATGGTCTGAGAGTCCCTCAGGTGCCTTTTGGCAAACTCCAGAGAAACACTGGAGCTCAGAGATTTCAAAGTGAAACCATTGTGACCATTGGGTGCTTGGTTACCTCCCTAGCTAAGGCCCTTCTCCCTCGATCGCTCATTTTGACCGGGCGGCCCGCTCTAGGAAGATTCCTGGTGGTTCCAAACTTCTTCCATTTATGGATGATAGAGGCCACTGTGCTCATTGGGACCTTCAATGCTGCAGAAGTTTTGTCTGTACCCTTCACCAGATCTGTGCCTTGATGCAATCCTGTCTCGGAGGTCAATTGTCAAGAACAATGCCTTGGACTTCATGGCTTGGTTGTGCTCTGACATGCACTGGTAACTGTGGGACCTTCTATAGACAGGTTTATGCCTTTCCTAATCATGTCCAATCAACTGAGTTTTCCACAGGTGGTCTCCAAT